TCCCCTATCAGGAAGTCCCCTTCTGGCTCATCTGCGGGTGTCAAGAAACCTCCACCGACACCTCAGTGCAACTCCAGTGCGAAGTACAATGCCTCGGTGGAGTACCAGGAGTCCCGCAGGAACTTGGGGAGCAAGTTTAACCCTAGTTCATCGTTGACATTAAGCTCCAGTAGCTCACCCTCCAAAGAGCTTTCCACAGGTCCTCAGGCACCCCCCAAACCAGGAAAGCTCAATCTGGCAAATCTTCCTTTGGCTTTGCAGAACAAATTTAATCAGAACCGCCAATCCACTGCAGACTTCCCATCCCCTCCACCCCCAGAAAATGACATCTTCCCCCCTCCCCCACTGGAGTCTGACCTCCCTCCACCACCGCCCCTTCCAGGTGATCCAAATGGTTTGTCTCCGAAGGTGGCTGTGGTCAATCCTCAGCCCCAGCCTGCTTGGGGCAAGAGTTCACTGAAAAAGACACAACCTCCAGCGTCAATTCGCTGTAACAACACTATTAGAGAGCCTCCACCACTCTCACCACCTGCCATACAAGGGGGCCCTATTCCCCCTTCTTCTCCTAAAGGCACCACGCAGCCAAACTTCTTGGAGGACCTTAACAAGACACTGAAACGCAAGTCCTCGCGAGTCTCTGGAGACAAAGTGGACCCTGTGGCCACAATGGATGACATGGCTTTGCCACCACCTCCACCTGAGCTTCTGAATGATCAACAGAGACACAGTGGTAGTGGCTTCATGTCCGGGAATATCTCAGGCTATGCAACGCTACGGCGAGGGCCTCCTCCTGCCCCACCCAAGCGGGACCACAGCACCAAACTCACAAACTGAGAAAACTGCAACATTTCCTGGACACTCTTGCTTGCTATTTACATTTCTCATTGAAGCCATCATTTTGTTGGTATGCTCAGCTTTTTCTGTACAAAACCGCTCAAGAAGTTTCAGCTTTACTGTGACTTTGTGACAGTGCATCAGTTCCAGTTCCAAACAACTGAGTGATTCCACTTCAACACCTTGGTACTGCATGGAAGACAAAACTACATTAAACTGTTAATCTTATTGATTTTTGGGAAGGCAAACATTTTGAACTTTGGGGTTGGGTGGGATTTTACATTTTGATTTCATATTGTTTTTATATTATCGATTATTTAATAATCTGAAGAGATTGTTATTTCAGACAGAAGTTTTTTAAATGGTTGGATGGTTATTGATGTTTGAGGAGTTTTAGATGGGTAGGTTGAATTAGGCAGTGTGTTTGGCTGGTATATTAGTTTGGCACAACTTTGACCATTTATGTGGCAGATCCAGTGCTCAATGGATGCATCTAGAACGGATCTTGATCACTATTGCTCTTTGAGCCACTAAGTGCATTTTAGTTGTATTTGTCAAAACTGTAACATGAAGGACTTGTTGTTCAGGGAGTTGCCCCAATGTCTAGTTCTGTGAGACTGTGGAATGTTTGCTTTTTTTTTTTGTATTAGACCTGTTTAAATTGTAGATATTCTCATTTGCTGCAGTATCTTTGTCTAGGTAAAACAAATGACTGCCTTGCTGTTACTTGTTGGTCCTTACTTCCTCTAGTGAACATTCAAGCTGACTTTTACAAATTGTTCATCTATGAAGAGATGGACTTTTAAGTCATGTGACTGAATGACACAATCATTATTCACATAGATTTATCTTATATCCTGTATTATAACCTGTATTATTGGCTCATGAATACAGCCATGCCTTAAGATTCTAGAACACGTGTATCAAACAACTGATCAAAATATTCTCATCTTATAAAAAGAGGCCATTAGGAAGTTCGGTTTCCCTGTAGGTTTTACTTGTTGAAGGATTCTGGCTTATTTTCGCCATTCAGACATGACGTGCAACTTCAGAATCTTACAGTGAGCACCTATAATGGCTCTATAAGAGCCACTTGTCATATGTACAAACAATTATGCATATTAACGCATGTCCACATTTCATTTCGAAAAATTTGTTTCTTGAATGTATTTACAATATCATGAAACTTTTCAGGTTGTTGAGAAGTGACTAACTGAAGTTAATATTAAATTATTAAAGTATCCGGTCATGATCCATCAAAGGTCAATGAACATCATGCTCTGCATATCCCTCTGCAAAATGTGTAATTTTAAATGAAATTATACATGTTGATATCATCCATGTTTCTGGTTTTTATTGGGTTTCTTGTGGAGGTTAATGCCAGCAGGTATTCGTATTCATATCACATACAGTGAATAATCTTGTTTCATGTTTCAGTGGAGGCTGCAGTTATTGGCCCTTAGTACAGTAGTCTTTTCATTTAGCTTTGTTTGTAGCACCTTAAAGTTTGTATGAAGAGTCTTCATGTGATTTCATCCAGCAGTTCAGTGATATGGCAGGTGATTGTTGAAATGGTCTCCACGAACATGGTTGGTTTCCGTGTTGTCATGATGACCCGCACGTATTGGTGGAGTCATGATAATGCTTGGTGCTGAAGTTGAATGTGTGCGGTCTACAAATGTCAAAAGCATTATGAACATTGTGATCACAATACTAATATGCCAAATATGCAAGTGTGAAAGATGACAAGTTTATTTACCTCTAGTCCCAAAATGATTTAAATCGTAGTATAATCCTAACCCCCCCTGTTGGCGGAAAGAAGTTATCAGCAATTACTTCATTGTTTAGTCATGTATTTCAAAATTTAAATTAATTTACTTATAATGAAAATAAAATGTTACATAAGCACTATATGTAAACATTATTATTCCGTATATTTAACTATCCTTGACATAGGTTACATACTTCTGCACAATAGTGATAGTCAATGAATAGTTTTTAATTAAATTATATTTACTGATGCAAACGTGCACTTTCTTTCTAGCCCTTCTTGCTTGTTTACTAGACACTTACATTTTGGTGCATATCTTCTCATGGTAATGTTTGGATGCTCCTGGTGAAATACATTTTTCTTTATGTTGACACTCACCTCCTTACTGGACTCAGAGCTGGAGCTGTCGGCCTTTGTGCATCTGAGAGAGATGATACGAGTGACGTCCTGACTCACTCTGGCTCTGATATAGCACCCTGCCTCCGACTAAACCCCAAGGGTATGGAAAAGAATCAAAAAAGATTCATGAAAAAATAATGTTATACTCTTAATAATAATAATCAGTATTACTTATTACTAACCATTATGCAAGTTTCGACAAAGGATTGTTAATATAAACATTTTAAAAATATGTGACCCTGGACCACAACTACTGGTCTTAAGTAGCACGGGTATATTTGTAGCAATAGCCAACAATACATTGTACGGGTCAAAATGATCAATTTTTCTTTTATGCCAAAAATTATTAGGATATTAAGTAAAGATCATGTTCCATGAAGATATTTTGTAAATTTCCTACCATAAATATATAAAAACTTATTTTTTGCTAAGTATTATGCATTGCTTAGGACTTCATTTGGTCAACTTTAAAGGCGATTTTCTTAATATTTAGATTTTTTTGCACCCTCAGATTCCAGATTTTCAAATAGCTGTATCTCAGCCAAATATTGTCATATCCTAACAAACTATACATCAATGGAAAGCTTATTTATTCATATATAAATCAAATTCAGCAGTCACATAAGACTTTTTTTTTTTTATCATTCAAATGTTTGGGGTCAGTATAATTTTTAACAGTTGCTAGGGCCAATTTCTCAGTACTTGGATCAATTTTCAAATCTCTTCACACAGTAAGCGCAATAGTATCTGTGGATAAACTGATTAAGACAGCAATTTGCTGCATTTCTACAGTAATACCATATTGAAATGTTCTAAATCTAATACCTACACAAGTGTTAGTCTTTCAATTTCATTACGTCTATAAAAATGGGGAAACTTGCTGTTTTGTAAAGAAATTTTACAAAAGAAAACATCTGTTGTTAGTGTATTTAGGTCATTGTTTTATGTGATAAATTGTGTTTGTTGGGTCACAAACATTACTATTGTTGTAAAGAATGACTTGATTTGAGATGTATGAAGAGACATTTAATATGTGTTTTGGAAGTTTTAGTGCTTTTTTGATTCAAAATTAACTGCTGTGCCAAGGCGAAAAATACACTGAAAAAAAGATTGGTGTAGAAACCATTCAGAAATTGCTTGTGAATTTTACAATTAACTGTAAATAGCGAGAATTAAATGTGAACATTTACAGTAGCAAGACTGATATAGTATTATCTTGTAAACATACTCCAATAATTTTAAATATTTTTTGTTACAGTGTTAGGAGAACTGTGTGCAGTTTTTTTTTTTATATTAGTGACCTAATATTTGAAAAATTAGTCCTAGTGATTGAAAAAACAAAATTGAAAGAAGGTATTTTCTGCTCATCAAGGCTGCATTTATTTGACCAAAATTAGTAAAACATTATTATATAAATATATTGATAATTCTCAGCATTGGAAAATGCAGTCTTTTACCAAGGCCTATAAAATAAAAAATATGAGTATATAAATTATAAATAGCTGTTGTTTCATACACTGATTATCTAATGTTTGTAGACAACGTGTGTGATGACATGTTTATGGGTAATTTATACTGAAAATTAAAACCACTCCCATCAGTTTATACAAATTCTGTGAATATTCACATATTGCATCCATTGCTTCCACAATTCAGCTTAAGCAATTTAAAAGGTGTTAATTCAATTATCAATGGTGCACAAATCTGGTACAATTATTACAATCTATTGGCAAACCCGGATCATGTCCATACACATATGATATGAATACCTTGAGATAACTTACCACAAAAAAACCTTTGCGGTACATGCAGCCCTGAGGATCGACCCGAGAGCTCTTCTGACACTCCGTCTCCCTGATGCCAAACCTCAGATGCAGATCAAATGTGTTCGTTCCCAGAGGAACAATCTTAAGGTAAATAAAGGCAAATGCTCAGCAGTCAGTATTTTTGGCTGTTGCTTTTTTAAACTATTCATTCGTTATACTTTGTCTTTCATTGATGACTGGATCCTCGCTAGTCACCAGTTTTGCCAGATGTAGAAATAAAAGAGTTGTTGTAAGAGTGTGTACTGACCCTCTTTACAGATGCCTTGGACACTCTGTAGAGGTGATTCCTGGCAATGCGTGCATTAATCTGATTGAGCGCCATCTGCAGAGCATCATCTGCTTTTGAGCTGAGCTCAAACAGAGGGAAGCCTGTGGTTGCATGTCAGAGGTCATGTTACTTATTTAATGATTTACAACTAAATCCACACAAAAAATGACTTTTAAGATTAAAAGTCAACACGTTAAGACTACTGACATTTATTTAAGCAAAGTATGAAAGCTGCACGTTTCCATTGTTTGTATTGTCACATATTTATTCCTTATGTCTTACAGGCTGTGCTAATAATCAACATCAAGACCGCACTCACCTAAACCTCCTAAAACCTGCAGGAGCAGAAAGAGAAAAACACAGCACCTCATTTTCATTTCAATCACACTGGACACTCTTCCTACCAAACAGTCCTTTTTTTAAACTGTGATGGCTCTTCTAATTCTCCTCCTCTTTTCCGTGTACAAGGTGTTGTTTAATTTGGCGTCTCTCTCCTGTTCGTGCACATCTGGGTAAAGAGGAACTTTGTCATGCAAACCCAATGCTTGTTTTACCCAGAATATGGTCTGATAATAAAAATGTTAAAAACGACTGTGCAAACTTACAACATACCATTTTGGATGATGTACTTGAAAAACTGTGTACAGTGCTACAGTAAACAGCTGTTAATTAATTCATAGTACCCCACTACATATATATATATATATATATATATATGACAATTATATGATGTTTATACAAGCCAACACATATAACTAACTGTAAAATGCTATAAAATCATTTTAAAACAACATATTCATGCATATATATATATATGTGTGTGTGTGTGTCACCTTATAATTTACTGTAAAAGGATATTTAGAGAAGTGTCTGCATGAATGATGCATCTGTTACATTTATTTATAAACATTTTCTTTCTGATTTTCTCCTGCATCTGAAAAAGTGAAAAATATAGCTGAACAGAGGAAGAAATCAATATATATTCTTGACAGTGAAATCAAATCAGTGACTCATGAAAAAGCTAAGTTAACAGACATCTAATTCTGCTTTCTTAACCATTAGTAATTTCTGAGAATCTCCTATTACTCCCTTTCCAAGTTCCTATGATTGTAATCATGAATTGTTACAGCTAATTTTCACTTACTTCTGTGAATATTTCTCAAGGTTGGTTCATTTCTGTATAGTCTGTTAAACACATTTGAACTATTACAGTTATTGAACATGTTGACAGTTGTGACACCATGTCCTAATAACGGAGGTGTTGCCACACAATGTGGAGTGTTGCAATGGAGTTTGTTATTAAATTGCCTATCATAGGCTTTTCATCAAATATTAAACAGTACAAAAATTATGAAACAGCAAAAATGTGTAAGGCAGAATTATTGTTTCAGGCAACAAATATTGTAATTAATACATGTTATGAAAAATAGCCTTGTTCCTTGAAGCATTCAATGAAAAAATAATGTTGTAGAAACTATTTTAACTCATACTTTGCTAGTAAATTTCACAACTGATTTCAAAGTAGCACATTGAATGAAATGTGACATTTTGTCCCAAATAGTATTTTCTTGTAAAATGTAGTCCAATAATCTTTTTTAATTACAGCTTAATATTCTGAAATATTATTACAATTGAAAATTACTGTTTCTATTTTTATATATTAATTCATTCCTGTGATGCAAAGCTGAATTTTCAATAATAAATGTATTACATTAATAATAATTTACAATATTAGGGTTTTACTGTATTTTTGATCAAATAAATGCAGCCTTGGTGAGCAGAAGAGATTTCATTATAATGTACAGTATATTAGTACATTATTATAAATAATATGTATTATTATTAGAAAGTACACATGCACACTGTAATACCCAATATTAGTTAAGGTTAACCATTTTAGGAAACAATTGCCTTAAAGTTTAAAACCAATCTACTATGTACTGTGAGCTTGTTCAGTTTGAGTACACAAAAAGAGAATATTTCTTAATAATATTATTATAAATCAGTATACTTTGTGTAACTTGATAAAACTGCATACAACTATTTGCATAAAATCTAAAACCACTAAGAGATCTCACCTATTAATCTTATGCAAAAATACACAGATAACACAATTTCAACATTCACTCTCCTTAACAGTCATTGAGTTAACATAACGTTTTTTTCTTTTAAGTACAATGAACTTTCAGTAGTATTTGAGAAAAGTGTACTTGTTTCATTTATTTGATTGTTAGGTTTTATAACAAGCTGAAGAAAAATTCTGTTACTAGCTGTTTAAATACCCTCAACCCTCTCCGTTCCCTCCTCTTTTCCCAGATACTATGCCCTGTTTAATTTGGCCTCTCTCTCACGTTCCTATCTAGTTTAGACAGACAAACACTTCTTCCCTTACTCAGAATCTGTGCTCCTGGGACAGCTTTTCTGTATACAGCAGTTATTATGTAAAACCAATTCTGTTACTGGAGGTTGGTTAACCGTGGAAAAGGTTTGGACAGCTGTATGTGACAAAAATGAGAACTGAGCACAGCTTTCCAATGTAATAACTGTGAATGTAATAATTACATGAAAATATTGCTACTTAAAATGATGTGGTAATAGTGAATTCAGTTTATTTTGCATCAAACAGGACAAGCATTTTGTTTATATTTCCAGACCACTCACTCATAATTTATTGCAAAAAAAAAAAAAAAAAAGAAAACATAAAGCACTAGTATAATTTGAATCTTCCAAGAGAAACATCACTTTTTTTAAACATTAGTCTTGTTGTGTAACCCTCTAAAACCTTTTACAATAAAACAAAACAAAGCTATTACATTTGTACTCTATCATATATAATGTACACATAACAGATATGAAGAAAAAACTGCATGTTTGCATTTAAATTAAACAAAATCTACTGCTTTCTGTTCATTTGCAGCAATCTGTCATTCAATCTGTCATTAAGTTAAAGCAAAAGGTGGCATCTCACCAGAACTAGCATATAGTCAGTCACCATGACCCCCTCCTCGATCACTCACAGTCTTAGTCTTGACATTAGAGGCTCCACGGCTGAAAGAAATGAGCCTTCAAACTCCTGGTCTGAGAAGCGGGTGACGGACAGACGCGCCCGGCGTCGGATCTCTGATCGAGCTGCAGGAGTCATAGCAAGGATTCGTTCCATGGCATCTGCATAACTGTCTTCATCGTCTGCCAGGAAGCCAGTTGGACCGTTATCATAGGGAACTACAATGTCCAACTTGGGGCCACCGGATTTGTGAGCCAGAATGATAGTTCCTGCAGCCATACACTCCACTACACCTGCGGACATGTGGGAGAAGATGAGAAATGCTCAGTGTAACGGTCAGGGAAATATCAGGGTTATTAGTTAACTAAAATTGAAACTAAAACCCTAAACAAACATTTTTGTTACCTAAAATAATATATATATATACAGGAGCATCTCAATTAGAATGTCGTGGAAAATTTATTTCAGTATTTCATATATAGTGAATTGGTGGGTTTTTGTTAAATGTGAGCCAAAATCATCACAATTAAAAGAACCAAAGACTTAAACTATTTCAGTCTGTGTGCACTGAATTTATTTAATACACGAGTTTCACAATTTGAGTTGAATTACTGAAATAAATGAACTTTTCCACGACATTCTAATTTAATTTATTGAGATGCACCTGTGTATATATATATATATATATGTGAAGCTATATATTAGCTAATTGTCAACAATTTCTTATCTTAATTTCTTATTTTTATTTAGTTTAACTTTAAGGACTAAAACAACTAAAACGAATAAATAATAATAAATAAAAACTATACAGGCATTTAAAGAAATATATATATAAAAATGTCAAAAACACAACTACATAACTAAAACTAAAATGAAAGAGATTAACAGAAAATATACCGTAATATGAAATTAATTCAAAATATTAACAAAAACTAAAATGTAATATCAATTATACTAAAATATATTACTATTAACTATATATATTAGCTAATTGCCAAGGCAACATTTCTTATTTTCATTTAGTTTAACTTAAAAGACTAAAATAACTAAAAATAAAGTAAACTAAAACTAATCAATAAATATAAATAAAAACTATACAGGCATTTAAAGAAATATATATAAAAATGACAAAAATGATAAAAACTAAAATGAAAGAGATTAACAGAAAATATAAAATGAAATCTAATTCAAAATATTACCAAAAACTAAAATGTAATATCAATGATACTAAAATAACACTGGCAAATATGCACTGTGGAGAAAAATAATCTTTGTCAATTTCAATTATTTCTAACAAATAAAAAAAAACATTTTACAATGCATAATATGTATAATGTGTATAATATATATAATATTCTATTAATCTATTATATTTCAAATTTTAATCAAATATTCTTTTAATTCAATTTTACAAAATAATTTAATGTAACATTTTAATTAAATTAAAAATGTTTTAATTCAATTTTACAAAATAATTTAATTAAAGTAACATTTTAATTCAATTAAAAATGTTTTAATTGTAAAAACAATTTAATTAAAAAACAATTTATTGTATAATATTTAATAATTTATTTATGGTTCCATAAACAATAAACAATCTCTTTTTTTTATTTTTTTTTTAAGTAATCTATATAGTGTTTTGAGATTTTGCTGAGAGCATGATATTTCTTACCAATACCAAAATGTTCATTCCACATTGTGTGCAACCCAATTGTGGCGTCTGTTAAATCTTTCTTCAGTTCCTCAAATGGGATATTGAGTTTAAACTCCACCCTATCTACCACACCCAGATCCAGACACAATCCCTTCAGCATCTGCACCCTCTCTTCATCTTCCTGGTTACGACATCCACCAATCAACACCAGCTTCACGGTCTCTCGCCCGGCAGGCTCCACCCCCTTCCTGTCCAGAAGCTTTCTAAAAGCCTTGATCTGCAGCCGATGATCTTTTTCAGGCCGGAACTGACCCACGGAGACCACAGAGTGACACTTCTTTCTCTCCTTCTCTTCATCCTCATCCCCAATAGGGACGTCCAGGAAGGCCTGAATGTGTGCAACCCGATTGTGGCGTCTGTTAAATCTTTCTTCAGTTCCTCAAATGGGATATTGAGTTTAAACTCCACCTTATCTACCACACCCAGATCCAGACACAATCCCTTCAGCATCTGCACCCTCTCTTCATCTTCCTGGTTACGACATCCACCAATCAACACCAGCTTCACGGTCTCTCGCCCGGCAGGCTCCACCCCCTTCCTGTCCAGAAGCTTTCTAAAAGCCTTGATCTGCAGCCGATGATCTTTTTCAGGCCGGAACTGACCCACGGAGACCACAGAGTGACACTTCTTTCTCTCCTTCTCTTCATCCTCATCCCCAATAGGGACGTCCAGGAAGGCCTGAACGTCGCATGGTGGATAGACCACACTGGTGCAGTTAGGAGCGCGCCACAGAGCCAGAATGTGACCTAAAGTCCAGGTTGAATTGACCATGACCACGTCACTACAGGAGCCAGCCAGACCATACAGCAGCGCAAAGACACAGTAGTAGATCACTTTGATGGCACTCAGTACAGGGTTACTGGAGATGTAGTCTGCATTATTGAACCTAGAATGAAGATATGGAATTATACATGTTAGATTTCTATAGGCCAATTATACTGTATATACACCACCATTCAAAAGCTTGTGGTCAGTAAGAACTTTATGTTTTTGTAAGAAGTCACCAAGGCTGCATTTATTTCTTCAATAATACAGTAAAACAGTAATATGATGGAAATATTATTCCAACTTAAAAGAACTGTACTGATATTTTAAAATGTCATGTGATGCAAAGCTGGCATTACTCCAGTCTTTAGTGTCACATGATCCTTCAGAAATCATTCTAATATGCTTTTTTGTTGCTTAAGAAAAAAATTCTTATTATTATCAATGTTGAAAACAATAGTACTGCATCACATTTTTGTGAAAACCGTGACACTTTTTTAGCAGTCTTTGATGAGTAGAAAGTTCAAAAGAACATTTATTTGAAATACAAATCTTTTGTAAACATTATCCACCTTATTCTTTAACATGGAAGTAAGCCTATGGGCGAGACTTCCGGTTCATCAGCCGTTATAAATAACGAGAAGAATTACAACGTGCAGTAAATGGTAAAACTGTTTGCACTAGCACTCTGGGTAACCTAGCAACCGCATAGCAACACCTTAGCAACCAGTGTGTTCATAATTTAGATAATACATTAAAATAATATGGTAAGACACGTCAATTTGCAATTTCAAGCAGCAAAACGAGCGGTTTTGTACAGTTAAAAATAGCTGGAAGCGAATGAGACCGGAAGCAAGAAAACCCATCAAATTTACAAATGGCCACACCCATTTTTACGGGAAAAATAAGGTGGATAAATGTCTTTACTTTTGCTTTTGATCAATATAAGGAATCCCTGCTAAAAAAAAGTATGCATTTATTCATTCAAAAAGGTATACTGACCCCAAACGTTTGAACCGTAGTGTATGTAAATATAATTATACACATTCATGCAACATACATAACATCTGGAAAACATACTGCAAGAGATGTATTTATGAGACAAAAAAATTGCTTATCAGAAAGCTAATGCTAATAATGGTTCAAGACAACATGAAGCGCCATTTAGAAGACATTTTACTTCTGTAATGTGACATATTGTTTGAGTGAAAAATAATATTTAACAAAAAAAAAAGGGTAGTATTACATTTCCAGTGATGATTTACTGGCTAAGGAATATTTTTCATGCATAATTTCTACCTGATAAAATATTTTAGTGGTTGGCATGATTACAAAAATGTATAATCATAACAATGGATATGAAGTTTTAAGATTTTATTAATTTTCATGACTTTTTTTTCCAGGACTAGAAATCACACTTTCAACTTAGGCTTCCTCATATATCCAGGCTTTTCAAGTGGGATTTAAATTTGTAAAAAATGCTGAGGGGGTGAATTAAAATACAAAATACCATTTTTTTACATATTTTATTTTGTCTAATTAAAAAAATTTAATTATACTGAAGCCCTGTTGTAAGTTGGTTTAGAACTACTGCACCAATTCATTACGCACAATAAGACCAAAAATATATTCATTAAGTAAATATGGTCCGTTCTGAACTACAATTGAGTCATTATGGAGTTCTTTTAACCTCTGCATAAGTCACAAAACTATGCTTTTAAGTCACTAAACATTAGAGCTGCGCGATTCTGGATAAATTGAGAATCACGATTTTTGTCTAAAATAGAGATCACGATTCTCCCACGATTCTGAACTAAACAAAATAAAAATATTATAAATTGATAATTTAAATTTATTCAAAGTGTGATAAAATATTAATTGCTGCAATCTATTTAAAAGTGTTTAATTAATTTGAATGAATTCTTAAACATTTTATTATATAACCTAATATATGTATTTAAAATATAATATATTAAATAGACCAATTTTAATATTAAAATGATGAAAAAGTGGTTTAAATGAATGATTCAATGACTCATAAATACTTCACTTGTTTCATTACTGGATGAATCAGCGTTTTTGAACGAATCTCTTGAATCAATGATTCAATGACAAATACATTTTTAAACAATCACTTGTCGCCACCTAGTGGCGAAACGATGCAATCAACACAAATGTTATTTGAAGCGCCAATTACTTTCAAAAGAAGCCTTGCTCTATTTTGAGCACGACCATATACATCAATATTTATATTTGAACTAAAAATTTATATCCGAACTATAAACTTTCATCCCAGTATTTCTGTGATAACATGAATGAAACAATACTAGTGTAGCGGATTTTTTAAAATTTGCATTGATTGCACTGATCTCACTTTAATACATTTATCTTACATACATCTTTTGAATGTAATCTTTAATCAGTACTCAATAAGTATTCAATGGTAACCAATAGAGTGAATGAGGTCTTTTCAGAGAAGTTGTGTACCAGGAACAAACAAGCTTTGAGAATAACCAGACATCAACATTTTAGCAAGTGGTACCATGGGGTGATGTAATACAGCCATTTCATTGGTTAGATGAGGGATTTTGAAATGTATACTTTTGACAATAAAACTGGGCTGTGATCTCTTTTGCTCACAGCTTTAACTGTGTGTCAAACAGATCACTTCTCTGCAGAGAATTAAAGCAAGACAAAGACAAAACTCTGTTTAGTTCACAACTTCACAATTATTTTATTACTATATTAAGTCAGAATTTCCACTACACTGTGTAGCTGAAAAGACTGTTTGTGAAGCTATTTCTTACCTAGTAACTGCTCGTGCTCTCTCTCTCTCTCTCTCTTAGTTTTTCCAAAGGTTTTATAGACACGAGCGAATCATTGCCATTTAGAAATCAGATCACGTGGGTGTCTGAATCGAGATCGCAATCTTTTAACGATTAATCGTGCAGCTCTACTACTAAACATTCAACTTTTACATTTAATTCGACTTTCTTGACTAACCTTGGGTTTCTTTCTCGAACCACTGACAGCATATCAGTGCTGATGGTTGGGTAGTGCACATAGCTTCCCACATGACAGCCACCCAGATAACAGAACACAGGTAGAGTGAAGGCATAGCCCATTGAGTCAATGTAGAGGTCTGGAACAAACTCAGTCAAGGCCTCCCACCCCAGGAAGATGGAGCCCACGCTCTGCCCCAGAAGGGTGAAGTGTGGGTAAAGTTTGGCCTCCACCAGGAGACGATGTTTCAGGAACACAAACTTAACGGCTCGAGGGAGTCTGATGTTGAAGCGCCGCCTCGCTCCATCTAACATCTCTTCTGCTGTCACGCCCTGATCACCCGTGTAAACCACGAAGGAAACATCTTGGTACCTACGTAAATATAGGGGATTAAATAGGCTATGAATCCAGAATTTTTGTTATGTTCATTGTTTTGTTAATTTCATGCTGAAGCCCAGCCCTGCTGATTTAAGCATTCAAGAGTTCAGTCAAACACAGAAATTAAAGGGGTCATATGATGTTGCTAAAAAGAACATTATTTTGTGTATTTGGTGTAATGAAATGTGTTTATGCGGTTTAAGGTTCAAAAAACACATTATTTTCCACATACTGTACATTATTGTTTCTCCTCTATGCCCCGCCTTTCTGAAACGCGTCGATTTTTACAAAGCTCATCAGTCTGAAAAGCGAGGTGTGCTCTGATTGGCCAGCTATCCAGTGCATTTGGATTGGCTGAATACCTCAAGCTTGTGATGGAAATGTTACGCCCCTTACCATACTGTGATGCCGTGTCCCGGCCGGAGCGACGAGACAAAAACATTCAAACCCATTATAAACGAGGCATTTGTTGCATCCAGTGGGGACATAATTACGGATTATAATGACTTATACTGTCTTTTGCCGCATAAACGTAAAACCATGTCTGCATTTGTGATCGGAGAAACGACAAACAACAAG